ATCGTTCGTCTCGCAACCGCAAAAAATCCGTGAACCCGTTTTTAATTTCGAGGATTCGTCCATCGATAGATCACTCCACCTTCCCCTCCACCCCCACTCCCACCTCCCTCTCTCCCTCCCCCTCTCAGCCACGTGGAATTCGATTGTTCTCGCTCTACGATTGGCCACGGGACCCGTTTATTATCGGCATTACGCGTTTCCGTGATGGAAACGGTCGGCCATACTTTTTTTCATTCCATTCTCTCGAACATCGGCGCTCTCGCACATCGTAGTAACGCGCATCCGAAGGATTAGAACCGATCGTTCGAACCGATATCGAGTCGGGGGAAATTCGGCCACGTGGCGGCGCGGGGATTCAAGGTGAAAAGATTTCCAGAGATCCAACACGCTCGGACTCTCGATTCCCCGATCGATAAAATCCCCCCGTTTTCCACTTTCGCTTTTCCATTCTCGGTCAAAAACACACTCGGTCCTCTTCGTTTCGTCCCTCGCCTCGTGAGATCTCGATTCGAACGATCGAACGATCTCACTCTCTCTCTCTCTCTCTCTCTCTCGTTACAAATCTCGTTGGAAATTCCAATANCTCTCACTCTCTCTCTCTCTCTTATTTAACTCGTCCTATCAAACTATTCGATCAAATCGCCCTTCGAATTCGTTTCGCTCGCCGAAATCGAGAATTTTCTTCGCTTTCAAAATGAAAACCGTCGAAAACCGAGTCAAGTTCCTTCGCGCATCCTCCTCCACATCCCATCCGTAAACAGATTCATAGATCGGTATATACGAATTAGACGAATCATCGGTTTCGACGATTCTGTATTCAAGATACAAATGGAGATCCTCGAGTGTAAACTCGGCCAAGCTCTCGGAGACAGATGTTGTCGGCCGACGGGACGGGATTCGATGGCGATGATCGCTCGTTAAAAGGCGTTTAAAGGCTTCGAAACGCTCGGATAGTTTCCGTGATCGGTCCCCGCCGCGCTTAATGATACGTTCGATATACCTCGAATTCTCTTTTCCCCTCGTTAAAGCCTCACCGCTTCTTCTCCGCTTCTGCGCTCGTTTCTCTCGCGAGAAATGAAAAAGATGGAAAGAGAGATGGGCTCGTCTCTTCTCTCCCTTTCTTTCTCGGATTATTATTACCGCTTCGCTTATTAATAGAGAAACGTTTCGTTTCGACGTTCTTCGCGTCGAGATTGGACGCGCGTTATCGTCGACACACAACATTCTGTGATTGTTATTTGCTCAACTGTGGTATCCTCTCGCGTGGATTTCGATCGAGAACCTGCCAAGAGAAACGATTCGCCTGTTTTTTTATTCGTACGAGAGAGAGAGAGAGAGAGAGAGAGAGAGAGATCGTGCGTACCTGTTCGAACCGAATCGTCACACCCTATCCGCGATTTTTGGCGGCGAAACGAACGAGAATCGATAGAGAGATAACGATATAACTTGCGATATTATCGACACGAATAGATCGCGTAGATTGGATCGAATGAATTATCATCCGGGTTCTTTGGTTTTTGTTATTTTAACGAGACGCGCTCGAGGAGGGGGGCGATCGGGGGAGAAGAAGAGGAAGGGAAGGGAAAAACTTTCTCATTTTCGTGCGCGCCAACTTTTAAATTGTATAAAGGGAGTGAAAGAGAGAGAGAAAGGAAGAAAGAGAGAGTGCGATTTGTTGGGACGACGAAGAATCGAATGTTTGTAAGGATTGTTTCTTCTTTTTCTTTTTTTTCTTTTTTTTTTTTTTTTTTTTTTTTTTTGTTCGTTAATTATCGTCCGTTTTCACGTTTCAATATCGCGTATCCTTTCGCGATTCAAGTCTCCTGGAGGGTAGAGTAATCGTTGCTCTCGTTTTTTCTCTCGAGAAGGAGGGAGGGAGGGAAGAATCAGGGATCGGGAGCGATTTTTATTGGCGGTCGAGTTTCGTTCGATTCGAACTCGGTTGACGAGAGACCGGATACGCGACAGGATACGCGAGGGCGTTGTTGCCGCGTTTTTTTTTTTTGTAAATAGAGAGAAACGAAGAATGAAGAAGAAGAAGAAGAAGAAACGTATGGATGCGAAGGATTGTCTCTTGCCAGCGAACGGGAGAGATCGAATCGAAGACGGAATCGAAGAGCGCGGGATCTATAAGAGATCATTTTTCTTTTTTCCTTTTTTTTTTGGAGAAAGATCGAAAGATGGAAATTTCGAAAGCTCTTGGAAAGTTTCGGCGATCGAGCTCTTCGATTTCTTCGACCGATATCTTCTCAACCGCCATGCGTGGAGGAAATTTTTTAAAATCGGTGCACGTGCGAGGAAGGAAAGAGAGAGAGAGTAGGAGAGAAAGAGAGAAAGAGAGTGATAACGCGAATAACAACGGAGAGATTGAAGAGAGAAAGAGAGACGGGTGCGAGAGAAAGGAGAAGAAAGGATGGAAGGACCGATGATATGAAACGGGAAAAAAGGAAAGAAAGAAAATAATAAAGAGGAATGAAAAAGATGAAAAACGTGAAAAATTAGAGAACGTATTGGAAATCGCACGCGCGTTGGCGACTGGAAAAAACTCTGGAAGAAAATAACGAATACGAAAATAACAAACCGCGGAAACGAACCACGAATGCGTTTTGAGAAACACTGTACACAGCTCCTCCTTCTCCCTGTATATTATTATAATTAAACATTAATTATTATTAACGTAAAATAAAGATCTGGCGAATGGTGGTGACGTTTTGTTAGAATGGCAGAAGCTAAATTACTACTGAATTTTAATTAATAAACGACATGAAAGTAATACAACAACGTATTTCACGTTTCTTTTTTTCTTTTTCTTCGCTTCGCTTCGCTTGCCAAGAATCGCACCGAAACCTTCGAAACGTCGACGGAGAGTATCCACATTTCACGTATCGTCACGAGCTCGTCGTCCATAGATTCGTTCGAATCGAAGGATACGGTTTGGCCTGGCGAACTCGCGTGCCAGAACACGGCGAAGCACTTTCGAAACGGCGGATCCACCTCGATTTCGAGGCGAGCACAATTCCTTCCCGTTTCAATTATACCGGCCGCGATAATGGGACGAGTGCTCGTAACCGTTAATCATCGTGATAGGCGATGCGACAAGTGGATAATTAACCGGGAAGAAGGTTCGATCTCGCCCCACGATTTTCATTCCTTCGAGCGACGCAACGCGAAAAATATCGATTTCCAAATCGAATTCCTACTTCTCTCGACGATGGAATATCTTCAAGAAATGGAAACATCGATCTTTCCTCGCGCTTCTCCTTTTTTTTTTTTTTTTTTTTTTCTCTTCCTCCCCTCGAGGACACCGAAATTGTTCCAATTACGTTAAACGCGCTCTCGTCGTCGAATCGGATCCGCGTTCCAATTAATCCGCGTCCCCCTACCTAAGCGTTCTCGATTGCGACCACGCAGACGAAACGAGATTCCATAATTGCGCGGGCTTTTCGAACGCTTTTCCACGGAGACGCGAAACGCCACATGGTTCCAATCGGCCGCGAAATAATTGGAGGTAGATTCTGGCTGGTCCAATTTTCCCTTTCGCGAACCGTCTCGATTTGGAATCGTGGCGAAACAACTCCTCCGTTCCTCCAGCTTGCGCAAATACGTTTCGTCCAAGATTAATCGACGTTTAATCCACTTTGCACAGCTGGGATCTCGATGTGTCGACACTACGATAGAAATATTCCTCGAGACGCTGTTCGATAACGTTATATATATATATATATATATATACGTCGTCGAGTTTAATAATCGGCTTTCGAAAATTTTCGTTCGAATTCTTTCTTAAGAGAGAAATAAATCAGAGAGAGAGAGAGAGAGAGAGAAAGGTGTTGCCGAAAGGTGGTGTCGCGTTACGAGCTACTCGACGAGGGTCGTCTTGGTAATATTAATAACATCGGAGAAGCGGGATAAGCCTGACTTCTCGAACGAGAAGAAGAAGAAGAATCCCGTACGATTGGTTACGAAAGCGAGGTGGAAAACGAGGGATCGATCGATGAAATATCGATACTCGGAACGGCGCGACGGCGACTCGACTCGCCTCGACTCGAC